CCGACTTCCCTCCCCATCTCGACTTCCCTGACCCGACTTCCCTCTGCCAACCTCTATTCCACGACCCCCCTCTCGGGCCTCCCCCTCCCCCGCTTCCCATCTCGACTTCCCTCCCTGCATTGATCCCCCTCCCATGAATTCCTTTCCCATCCGGACTCCCCTCCCTCCCCCGACGTTCCTGCTCCTCTGTCGATCCCCACCTCTATCCCCCGATCCCAACTTTTCTCCATCGATCCCCAGATTCCTCACCTCTCCCCCGATCCCGGCTTCCCTCCACCGATCCCCACCTCTCTCCTTCGATCCTGACTCCCTCCTCCGGATTCCTTCCCCCGACCTCCGTCCAGCAACTGCCGTTCCCATCCTGATTTCCTTCCCCCCACTTCCCCCCATTTATCCCCACCTCTGTCCCCTGATCCCGAATTTCGTCTCCAATCCCATTTCTCCTTCCTGACCTCTACTTCCCTCAATTGCAACCTCCCTGCACTGATCCCGACTTCCCCACCCTCGATCCCTGCTCTCCCTCGATGTGACCTCCTCGCCTCGATCCCGACCTTCCCTCCCATGATCCCCGCTCTCCCCAGATTGCGACCTCCCTCCCCTGACCTCCCTCCTCCGGCCTCCCTCCCCGACCTCCCTCCGCAGACTTCCCTCCCCATCCCGGCTTCCCTCCCCCTACTTCCCTCCATCGATCCCCACCTCTCTCATCCCCCCTCCCGGATCCCCCTCGGCTACCACCAACCCTCCATCCCCGGCCTCCCAACTGCAGCGTCAACACCTTCCGCCCCCAATCAACCAATCAATCAGTCAATCTACTTCCGTGCCAATTTTGATTGATTTGTTGATTGGTTAATTAGAAGATAGAAAAACGAAAGTAAGAAAGAAAGAAAGAAGAAGAAAAAAAGAAAAAGAGTCGAGACACACACACACACACACACACACACACACACACACACACAGACACACACACACACACTGAGGGGAAGATAGATAGATAGATAGATAGATAGATAGATAGATAGATAGATAGATAGATAGATAGATAGATAGATAGATAGAGAGAGAGAGAGAGGGAGAGGGTGAGAGAGAGAGAGAGAGGGAGAGAGAGAGAGGGTGTGTGAGAGAGAAAGAGAGAGAGAAGCCTACCCGTGCATGCCGCCGGCGGTTCGGGTGCTCCACATGCATCCGCTGTCGAGCGCATCGGTCTGGCGCCGCACAGGGCAGCGCGGGACCCTCCTGGTCGCGTCACGCAGCAGTCGTGTTTAAATCCTTCGTCGCAATATACATGGAGCTTCCGCAAGCCGCCCCGGCCGAGTGCGCCAGCCATACCTCCCGCGAGCCCCTACGACAAGATAGGGCCTACGTGAGGCACAACCTACCTCCACCTTACGGGAGCTGTCMCCTCCCTTCGGTGGGCGTATCCCCGCCGAGCTACCACTCCACAGTACGAAAGCTAATCAGTTGCAATCACAGAGGTGGACCAGCCGAGGGCGTTTCTCGTTCGCTGTAGCATAGGGGGTATGCGCGGTAATACGCCTCTATCGGACCCACATGCGAACCGACGTCTTGGGGGGCTGAAGTCCCAAGCGCGACCCGTCGTCGGTCGGCTAGGACGTATCCCACTCGCCACGCGCACACCACTCTACAAAACGCAAAAAATAAATAACACACACACACACTAAAAACAACGCGACAACACTCCTAGTCCCTTCAGTGTCTATCCCATAGCCTTTCACTGCGGAAATCAAGTAATCGGCACGCGCGAGGCTCAATATAAAAATCGCGTGGCCGTAGAGCCTTATCATATCGACTTAGCAATGCAAACGTACGCAAGCGGTCGCCAGCATGGAGTACTATGTAGTCCCCATAATCATGGGACCCTGGATAATAATCAAGGGTCACCTTCGACACTAAAGTGTCGGCTGACACGCGCCTCGAGGGGTTAATCTCTCGGCGCTAGACAACCGGCATGTGCGGTTGAAGACCACACACCCTCTTCTGCACCCTGTGGAGAGTGGGTGGTACACAGGTCCATACCTGTGGTGGCAGTCGTTTCTTACTGCCCTGGAGATGAGCCCCACTCCAGGCCTGGACAAAAGTCAAGGGGTTTGACTTTGACGACTGTCACGAACTACAATGTCCAACAGTAAAAACTCTAAGAATCAAGAATAGGTCGAAGGTCCACCTATCCCAAAAAGATCATAACCTTGGGTACCTTTTTCGGTTGGTACCAGCGGTCTATAATAATCCTAAACATTCATGCATACGTGCGAGTCTCTTAATCCCATAACTTTTAGACACTAGGACGACGAAACGTCACGCGCAAGATTTTGATATAAAGCCGTGCGGTTGCAGGTCAGTCCTATACCAACCGACGATGCTAGTCATACGTGGTAATCGCGGCTTTGGCCTCGCGATATTGAATGACTGAAGGAATGTATCGTGAGGGGTTACCCTTTACGATATTGAACGGTTGAAGGACATGTCGTTCAGCCCTCGCGACATTTCTGCCCTCAGGTTGGGTGTCTCGACGGGCAGGACAGATAGGCCCTGCGCGAGGGAAGGTCCCTCCCCCGCTGAGTCTAGAGCTTGGGATGTCTTGGACAAGGACCTTGAATCCCGGCCTAGGACCAACGTCCGACTAAGAAACCCCCCAAAAGCAAATAAGTAAAAGAAAGGGTCTTCCTTATGCCTCTAAGTCTTAACCTCTGAGTAAGCTTATAGTACGGGACCCCTTAGGCCTCGCGAACATCCATCATAGGTACACCCATGTATACATGTATAAGAGGGGATAAGTATGAGACGATCACTTCTCACAATCACAGTGGGGATCTTCACAATCAAATGTATATTTGTGATCGCAGGCAGTCAAATCCAAAATCTGAGCCACAGAACACACCTGCAATCACATCAAAGAGCCAGACAACAGTCCACGCACTACACGGAGTCAACCCTAACCAACCTCTATACTCATACCCCTCGTTTTAGCCATGCAAGCCCCAACCTCCTTTCCAACCAGCCTTAATTAAATACTCAGTACCTTTGTTAGATGGCCATTCAATAAAAGTCCGGGTGAAACCTTAATGAAACAACAAAATCACCAGGGCTAAAGCACTTTAGGTTGAGTATGGAGGGTGAGTTGGAATTGAGTCGTAGACCGACGAATCGGCAACCGACCTGTTATCAGTGATAACAGAAGATGATCATCGTAGGATCAAGCTGAAATTAGTCTAAGTCCTGAATCAAAATGGTCAAGAGGACCTGTAACACAAGACAGGTCAATCCCCGGGCTAAACCCATAAGTCCTGGGGGAAATAACCCCCACATCATGATTTCACTCGAGCCCCTTCCTATGGACTAAGCCTGAATCTATCTTTAAGTAGTGCCTGAAGCAAAGGTAGACCCTGGCATAATCGCCCCGATACATAATGGATCGCCAAGGTCGCCACCTGTCAAAATATAGTCAAACTCCTTTAAACTAAGAAAATTTTGGCAGCGCTTCCCGTAGGAAAAGTGTCTTTCCAAAATTTATATCAGCCCGAATATAAAAACAGAAATAGCCTTTAACCTTTTAAAGTCCAATTTTGTCGAACTGCCTGAATTAGCAAAAATTTGGGCAGCACTCCCTTTAGAAAAGGAGACTTTCCAGATTTTTACTAAGCCATATATGAACTTTAGACAAGTTGAACCTTGAAGAGTCAAAAGTTGACTAACTCCTTGGATTTGCAGAAATTTCGGCAGCGCTTCCCATAGAGAAAGTAGCTTACCAAAAGTTATACAAAGCCAAGTATAACAAAAGATCCCAGAAAATGCGCAAATTGATCTAAGTAAAAAAAACCTAACTCAGAAAATGCAGGACATGAAACTAACTCCTATGGCTTTAGCACGTGGCAAGCGACTAAACCAACTACCTACCAACCTAAGACTCAGACCAGGTAGCCATCTCACTCAGTCACATGCAAGTCAAACCACAAGGGTAAGTACTCTCACCATCCCCAAGTCAACTTAGCAAACAATAGTTCATAGTCTTTCAATGTTTTAGGCCTTTATACCCAGCTTACATAAGGCGTGAAGTCAGGCCATCCAATCTTATGGAATATGCTTGACTCAGTCATTAAGTATACACGAACAGGTTGCACAACTACTTCTCTTTTACTTTGGCCACATGACTAAGCCATTCATCTTTGAAACAACGCTTAGTCGCTCTGAGCAATTTAATACCCAAATTATATCTACTTCTCTGAACTTAGTGTTCAAAAGCTAAGCATAGGATTGAGTCATTCATCTTAGAAACAAAGCTCAACCCGCCCAAAGTTACCTTCAGTTATATTCTTAATTATACTCTCTTCAAGTTTATGATAAGCTATAGTCAGACCACCCAATCTTATGGGACCCTGTCTGACCAGCCTGTTTTTAAATAAAATAGTAATAAGATATAACCTGCGTTGCACGCCGTTCGCGTTCGCCGGCCAATGCGAACAGGTTTGCCCAAACGTGTTCGGACCTTAAAAAATGGCGAACCCGAACGGTTTTTTTTTTTTTTTTTTTTTTTTTTTTTTTTTTTTTTTTTAAGGGGAACGGGGGGGGTCGGGCTATGAAACACCCGCGGACACGTCTGCGGGGCCGAGCTTGGAGGGCGGACGTATTCACGGCCGCCTCCACGGCCTACGTGGTCCGCGTCGCGGACCCGATTTTACCAGATTTTCCCTGAATGCAATAATAGGCCAAAAACAAATTAAAAAATATGGGGTTGTAGGGCATTTTTGGCCCTACAACCCATATTTTTGTTTTTGCAATCCGACTTTGTTTAGGATTTTTAGAAAATCAAAACCTAAATTCGATTTAAAGAAAATTAAAAAAAAATATATAACGAAAAGTTGGAATTTTTTTTGGTCATTTTTTATCATCAGATATATGGTCCCTGAGTTCACCTGTATTTCTTAGAAATGAATTTATGTTTTTTGCAGGGGTATGAGGTGTTTTAGAAAAATAAAGATGCAAAATTTAAAAATAAATAAACAAAAAACTTGAAAAAAAAAGTTTGATTGATTGATTGATTGTGTGTGTGTGTGTGTGTGTATGCGTGTGTGTGTGAGAGAGAGAGAAAGAGAGGTGTGTGTGTGTGTGTGTGTGTGTGTGCGCGTGCGCAGGCGGGGAGCTGCACGGCGCTGCGGGGGGCTGCGCGGGAGCTGCGCGCATGCACGCGCGCGCACGCGCGTGCGAGAGAGAGAGAGAGAGAGAGAGAGAGGGGTGTGTGTATGTGTGTGTGTGTGTGTGTGTGTGTGTGTGTGTGTGTGCGCGCGTGCGCAGGCGGGGAGCTGCGCGGCGCTGCGGGGAGCTGCGGGTGCCTGCGCGCGCGCGAGAGAGAGAGAGGTGTGTGTGTGTGTGTGTGTGCGCGTGCGCAGGCGGGGAGCTGCACGACACTGTGGGGGGCTGCGCGCG